CGTGTGCTCTTCCGATCTGTTGTATCATAACATTTCAGCCAATCAGAGGAGGATGGCAGTTCTCAAGACAAACGACAAGATTATGTTTGCATGTTCTATGTTTATATTGCTTGTATACACGTATTTTAAAATGTTTATTGCTTTTGAATATAGATAAGTTTATTCAATTTAAAGTATATTTCAAACTGATTTAGGTATACATACATATATTAATTAACGTATTTCTTACTGGGAATTTTCACTGCAATCTTATATCTTTATTTTTGCTTATTCATAAATATTTATTTATTTTCATAGATTTGTATTTATTCTTGAAAAATATAAAAGAATGGAAGAGGAAGATTTGTTACTGATTATATTACTAATGCAATCGTGGTATACATTTAATTTGATGGTGTATCGTGCACTGAGATCACGACGAAGTCAAGGAAGGAGGTTAGTATATCTATCTAATTATTGACTTTTGATGATATATTATTTTGTGCTTTTTGTAATTGCAATAGCATTATAATTTGTTTATTTTATTTAGATGGTGGCGTCGACCAGTTAATAATACGTTTTTGCAACTTGGGGACTTCTCACAGTTATTCCAAGAACTCAAGAATATTGATCATAAAGAATTTTATCATTATACAAGAATGCTACCTGATCAGTTTGATTGGCTTTTGGAAAAGACAAACCCGTATTTATTAAAACATAGCAGGAGACGTCCATTTCCACCAGAATTAAGACTGGCTGTCACTCTAGGGTATGCAATGAAGGCATGATTAATAATACTCAATATCAACAAATACTGATTGTATTATTGTTCATATGTAGTTAATACTGTTTTGAATGTATTTTAGATATCTTGGTCATGCTGATAGCGTGTGGTCGATAAAGTGGTGTTTCCGCATTGGTCGCTCAACAGTGTATAAGATTATTCCTGAGACATGTGATGCAATTATAAAAGCTTTACAGCCAATATATTTACCACCCATGACAAGAGAGGATTGGCGTAATGTAGCTGATGGATTTTATGAGAAGTGGAATTTCCCTAATTGTATAGGGGCGCTTGACGGGAAACACGTTAGAATTCAGGCTCCAAAAAACTCAGGCTCCCTCTTCTTCAACTATAAGAAATTTTTTTCAATTGTTCTCATGGCAATCTGTGATGCCGATTATGTTTTCAAATGGGTGGACATTGGTGACTATGGTGCGTATTATGAATAATGATATCTTTAGTAAATAACCAAACTAGTTTCTAATAAATAAAAACTTCTCTTTTATATATAGGTTCAATATCTGACGGTGGAGTATGGTTGCACAGTGACTTAGGCTCCAGCTTAGAGCAAGAATTAATTGATTTGCCACATCCAGAGCCATTGTTAGAGACAAATACCCCCTTTCCATTTGTCATTGTAGGCAACGAAGCCTTTCCACTCAAAACTTATTTAATGCGGCCCTATGCAAAGCCAAAGAGACTTAGACGTCAGCAAGAAGTTCTTCTTACTGGTCTTACAATACCACAGCGAATTTTTAATTATCGGTTGTCTAGAGCTCGTAGAGTAATTGAGAATGCCTTTGGTATTCTTGTTTCAAAATGGGCCATTTTAAAGGGTTCCATATGCTGTACACTAGAAACTGCCGAATCCATTGTTATGGCTCTTATATGTTTGCACAATTTTCTTCTGGAGAGCGAAAAAGATACATTAACTGCAACACGTCTGTATCAAAATCCAGGACTTGTTGATGGATATGGGCCGGATGGTGAAATACAAATTGGACAGTGGAGAGCTCAAGTGCCACAACATAGTATGATGGAAAGAGCTGGCAGACTTGGAGCAAACAATCCTACTCGAGCAGCCATTATTCAAAGAGACAAATTAAGAGATTATTTTCTTACTCAAGAGGGTGAAATCTTGTGGCAATATGATTATGCATTAAGAGATGTACCAATTGTTAGACATCCAACTTGACTATTATTCACATTTTTTGTTGGAAATATACATAGTGAAAATAAATATTTTGAATATTTCAAGCCTGAATTTTTACATGTTTTCCGTCAAGACAGAAGTCTAGTAGAACTATACTACTGTGATATTATACCATCTTGTTAAACAAGTTTATGCTGTTTATTTCAACGTAAAATAACATACAAACTGTAAATAACTATAAGTAACATACAAACTGGAAATAAATAATTGTTAATAGTTTTATTGAAAAGTGGAATAATTTTTATTTTAACATATTTTACAGTAAATTATACGTGGCTTATATAAAGAAATAATCTTTGGTACAAAGTAAATCACATTATTAGTACGTAATACAAAATTAAAATTATAATTTTCGTACAATCTATAATAGTTTTTATCATAATATTTAACAAAAAGATATATTTTAAAAAGTACAAAAATAAAGAAAAAATAACGGATATCATCGCTAGAATGCACTCGTAAACTATTGGTATATTACTTTTTTATTATAAGTATCAAAAACTGGAGGGAATAGAAATATAGACGTTCTTATTAAATAATCGCTCACTTGTTAAAGGCATAAACGTATTCTCTTTAAAACGAAAGGATTAATTGATGTATAATTTTCGTAGTTTTATAAAACTTGTTCCGTTAATATAGTTTTATAAAGTAGTATCAATAATATCTTAAATCAAACTAAAATTCTTGACTATAATATCCACATCAAAATGCTCAAAATGACATTTTTATTACAACAAATCGAACTAAACATATTTTCTATATTTTAAATAAAACAATTTCGTAGATTTCAATAAATTTGTGGATACATTAACAAAAAAAAGAATTTTGAAAAATCATATACGTGAAATACACAATATTATCGCAACAATAAAGCTGTAATGACTAGAGATATTCTCTCACAAAAGCTGTTATAAGCAATGATTAAAGAATAATCATTTTTCTAATCATTATTCTAATCTTGATCTTTGTATCTGTTAATTACTTTCAATATTTCAAGTATACATTCAAACCTTATATTAGATTTAACTTGTTTTAGACCAACATATGCACATTTTAACATATCAGATATATCTTTATCAATATTATCATTATCAGAAACATTTACTTTTTGTTCAGCTTTTCGTGAAATCATGTCTCCAACACTTTGTGCCATTTTCTCTAGTGACTGGACACTTGAACGCATATAATTATCGATATCTACTTTTTTTTTCTTACAAAATTCATCAGGTTCTGGCACTTTTATATTACTATTTTCCTTTTGTTTGTATTTTTCCTTGGTGCCAGTTTTGTTGCTACAACAGAGCGGTTGTTTTGATGGAATGTTGTTTAATACTGTCTGTGCCATAGGGGAAAAAGGGACACGATCTTCTATATGCATCTCATTCTTTTCTTGTGATGATTGTTGTAGCAAACTGTCATCTGAATAATAAGTAGAAAATAATTCATAAGAACGACTTAAAATGAGTGAAATTAGAAAGCAATGCTAATAGGCATAATTTCATACTTAATACGTACCACTATCCAAAGATATGCACTGAGATACATCTGTATCAAACTCCGCAGTATCAAAGTTAGTGTCTCGAATAACTGTGCAGCATGGGTTGTCCATAACTGTAGGTAATGGTTTGTTAACAACTTGAGATCCACTTGATTCATCATTGGAAATACATGATATAGGCCGCTTTATGTTTGAATTAGTTCTGATAACAAAAAACCATTAAAGTGTTTTATATACACCCATGTATTATGTATGTACGCACATACATACATATGTACACACATACACACACACAGAGCTTTAAAAATTCTAAAATAATAAATAATATTATATACTTACTGCCGTGAACTATCAAACTGCGTAGTATCAAAGTTAGTGTCCCGAATAACAATACATGGACTGTCCATAACTGTATGCAATGGTTTGTTTTTGTTAATGACAACTTGAGATCCACTTGATCCATCATTGGAAATACATGATACCGGCCGCTTTATGTTTGATTTGGTTCTGATAATGAAAAACATTAGTGTTATATACATATATATATATACATATACATATATACATATATACATATATGAATATATATATATATACATACATACAATAATACGTATGTATATACGTTACATACACGTACATAGCTTTAAAAATTCTTAAATAATAAATGATACTTACTGCCGTGAACTATAATGTGGGATGAGAAATGACATTTCACCATAATATTGGAATTCTTGGGTATCCTGGCTTGCACCGGATCCTGATCGCCCTTGCTCATAATATTTTTTATGTTGACGTGACCACATACACCTTAAGCTGTCCCATCTTTTTTGAGCTTGTTCACCTAATACAAAGAAACAATAATAACGACTAAATTAATATCAATATATTTTCTTTAATTATCTGTATCTACCTGTTTTTTTGTTGGTTAAGTACCTATTTGAGCCCATATTTCTTTTTTATCAGCCGTCTTGAACTTTCGCATTCTTTTATTATAGAGACAACCATTTATTTCAACGTACTTAATGAGTTTCAGGTCATCTGTTGTAAGTCTCGCTTTGACGTACTTACAACGTCACACTTAGAAATAAGCAGGTCACTGTTGCAATCTATTATTGCAACAATGACCCATAATTATTGAGGACGCCGACGCAGGACTTCGGCGCCCTCAATGCACGCGTCCTCCAAAAACTGCCGTCGTTGCAATAATTGCAACGACTAAGCAGTGCAGTGGCCCACTTGAGATGGGATATAACCCGTCGTCCAGCGGACCACTGCGGAGTTCAACACAATCATTAACGCATAGCGTTACGCTGTCGGCACGCACAGTTATTCAATCTGTAAGTAACACGTAAATATAGTGTCTGTATTAAACAAGATACTGTGCATCAATTCTACAACCACCAAAACCGAGTCCTTCCCACGTTACACCCCAGCCACGGTGTAACAATTTTTTAAAAGATTAGGCTTTAAAAAGTTTGTACAAATTTGAATCAAAAAATTTAATGACCTTGATTGCAACAAATGGATTCGTGTTTCCGTTGCTTGGAAAAATGCATTATAAGCATTAAAAAAATTCAAAGTGTATTGTAGAAACAATAAATAAGCTTTTGTTTCTACATTTTGCATCATACATAAAAGATTTTCCCTAGTTTTTTCACTTACAACCATTTCATTCAAAAAATATTTAAGAGTGTCCCAAGATTCAAGCACTCTTTCCACGCATGCGTGGTGAGAGAGCCATCGTGTATCAGATAATTTTAAAATTTTGCGAGTGTTTTCTTGAAAACATTCACAAAATTCTTGATAAATAGCGGATTGCTTGGGACTACTATTAACAAAAGTTGCAATTTTCTTAAGAAATTCCTCGTAAACTGCAGGTATTTTA